AAGTACAACTCCTCCGGTTTCATATGCAAAAAAAATTATTGCGCTAGCTCACGTGGTTGCAGAGCTACTGGGATTTAAAAATACTTACGCAAAATGGAGCGTGCTGCTCCGACCAGCTTTAAAGGGTTAAAGTGTTCTTGGGCAAGACACCGAACATCTGCACCTTTTGGCATTTCAGTGTGTGATAAATGACTTCAACAGGAGTAAAAGTGCAGTATGACTGTGGCTTGTTCATAAATCAAATTATTCAGTAAAAGACCAGAAAAAATAAGCTGCTGCAAGATGTGAAAACGTTAGAAAAATGAACTTCTTCTGGCGAATTCCTTAAAGCCACAGATTACATAAAGGATGGAAACTGTCACCATCCACTGCATTTTAGAGGGTTAGCATATATGGCTGTCACCATGTTAGTTACTTTGACCATATGCTACCATAAGTAGCACATCAGATGTGATCCAGAAGACACTGATAAGCTCCAGGTGCCCACATCAGCACACCCGTTTATCAACATAGCCACACCCCTCCCTACAGAATCCAGCTGGATGAGTTGTTATGAAGGGGAAACACTCCAGAAACTGAGCCTGTTACTGCAGCAGAATGTAAATACAATTATTTAATGCCTGACAATGTTAAACATGGGCATCCACAGGGATTGACTCTCTTTTGGTATCAGCTTCCATTGGACATTAAAGGAACTATAATGTATGCAAATTACACTTTAGCTCTGGATGTTGCCACAAATTAGCTTCAGCTGAACAGACTATATAGATTTGTTGCTATTTTTATGCAAATGTAACTAAATTTAAACTATTTTTATTCTAAAAGTTTAGAAAGTCTGGATTAAGACGTGAAGTGAAATGGCACCCAGCAGGAAACAGATTACAAATCACTGTTGAAGGACACGTGGCGAGCTTTGCTTTATTCCGTTTAACAAAAACCAAACTACAGTCACAGCTCAGATCTGCACAGTTAATGCAACAAGCGCATTTTCTTTAATCAGACCACACAAGTCAAATAAAAATCTCCAGCTCATTTAAATAAAATAACTCAAGATGGATTCATTTAGTCTTTCAAAACTCATGTTTAAATGAAAGAGGAATCAGCTGCTTTTCAGCCGCTTCGTTTCTACGTGTGCTGCTGTTTCCTCCTGGTCTCTTTTAGCACCTCTGCCGACGTCCGGCGCTCCCGTCTTATGCTCGCTGGTCACTTCAGAGCTGCTTCCTCTTGGATATCTCATCTCCCTCCTCTCCCTCCTCTCCTCCATCTCGCCGAGCTCCTCGGCAAACAGGGTTTTCAGTGCAGGAATGAGTTTGGGGATGATTTTGGAATCATCAAAACGAATCTGTGAGCAGACGAAATAAAGGAAATTGCCACAATATTTAAATGAAAGCATTCAGAACAGTTCCATTTAGACTTTTTTTTTTTACCATTTAGCTCTTTTTATCCTTATTTATACTCTTTACAGTAAATGTTTTATATACAGTATAATTTCCTTGTTATTCTTGTATAAATGTTTGTTGTTGGTAGTTTATATGTTACAAAAAATGGAAAATCTTGACTTGGAAGTTGCAGCAATCCCCATCCAACTACTAGCATTTCTGCTAACATTTAGATTAAGAAACAGCTGAAAAACTGTTTTTAAATGTGCCTTTAACTG